CTGATCAGTCTCCCTGATACATCAGCATTAAGGAACTTTGAAAATCCCATCCTAGAAACCTACAATAAAGTCTTGCTTCTGACAGTTGCATTACACACATTAATTTAACTCTTATGATTGCAACCAAGGCCAACCTCATCAATTTTAGTGCTGTAGCACTGTACAGAGAGCACTGTTTGTGGATAGCTGACCGCCTGAATGGTTAGGCCAGAGGAAGGGTGAGAGGAAGCTTGACCATCCTTATTTTACAGATGGGAGACTGAGGCACAAGGAAGGAAAGGAGGGGCAGGAAAGAAGGGAAAGATGTAAGTGATATGCTCAAGGCCACCCAGGAAGACTGCTGCAGAGTGAGAACACAAATCCACTTTTCTCACTCCACCCCCTTTCCCTCCTCTCTGCATACAAGGTCTCTGCTCTCAGAGCTGCGTGAGAATCTCAATGGGTCAATGCTATTGCGTACGGTGGTTACCAAGAGAAGCCCACGTTTCCACAGGTGCAGAAGGGCAGAACTCAATTTGCAGTTCTTGATTCAGCCCAGCAGAGAAAGGAACAGTGCATAAGCAAGCACTCACATCCTGCTCCCTAGGTTTAAGGAAGGAGACAGGGCTGGCAATAGAATCCTCAGTTACAGAGCACAATGATAAATCGCAGGGAAGCACGGTAGATGAGCATTACCTGATCAACACCAACTCCAAGAAGTGGAAGAAAAGGAGGTAGCCTAAGTGAGCACTTTAAAATGCTAATTCTGCCATTTTGGAGAAAGCAGAACAGCACAGGCCAACGTGAACGCCATGGATCCAAGAGCCAGAAAATTCAGGATGCAATTCTAACCAGTCCGATGGCTCTCTGTGTTACTTATGTGCAAATCACCCCAACCCTTCTTCTCTAGCTTCAGACTATAAATGCCCTGAGGCAAGGACCAACCACCTCTGTCTTCATGTCACGCTCACCTGCGGACAGTCACCACACTTGAGTTTGAAACCTGTTGCGACTCAGAGGTAGTAATGCAACTCTGAAAGCTTAAGCCTGTAATAGTTTATGTAGCTAGAGGTTCACTTTATTGCCTAAACATTGTTTTTAAATAGGTTAGAAAATATAACCACAAGAACAGGTAGGATGGAAAAGGGAAGAGCCACTGGTACCTGCCAATCTGTGTTTCCTAAATCCTCTCCAAATAAGAAAGAACTTCGCTCCTGCTTGACAGAAAAAGAGCCCAAGCCCAGCATGTCCCTACACATGCACAGAAAGCAGTAACGCACGTAGAGATCTGCTGTGGAATCGCCCACTACTGGCACAAAGAGACCCATGTGTTGGTAGCATAGGCTCCCCGTCAGGGAAAAACACACCTTGTGGGTCTGCACAATGAAGCCCCAGCAATTGTGGCTTTTTAGGAATTACTCTTAGAGGATTTAGAAACCCACAGGAGAAGAGCTGGCTTGATTATCTCCCAGCTAACTGGAAACATGGCCCAGCATGCTGAATGGAAGGTATCTCACCAAACCTTAGGTAACATCTAAAGTTCCATTGATAGCCCAGCTGACCAACAGAATTCCCCATCTCTGACAAGCACAAATGGATTTCCTTTTAGGTTTTTATAGGAAGCATTTGATACACACAGACCAGCTACCTTAAGTTAGCTATAGCCTCGTTTCCAGAATATACAAAACATTATATTGACCACTAACCTTTGGTCTACACAGACTGTCCTGGGCTCAGCATTTTGTGTTCCATTTTATCTATTTGCATCTATTTCAGCATTTGTATTCAGGGCAACAAGTCTATTTTGAAGCAAATTCACCAGCTGCCCCCAACAACCACATCCAAGCTTGCCTTAGAGTGGCATACTTAGAGTGGCATACAAGCTAGGCACCTTCTCTCTACAGTTCTGGACCACAGCCATGGGGATATATTCAGTTCAAACTATACCCCCCCACACACACACCACCACCCAGCACTGGTATATACACAGCAGAGACTGAAGGCGCTCAGTACTGCCTGCTTTGATCACTGGCACACTCCTACTGCACCAGATTACTCGCTAACAAAGGCAAAGCAACTTGGAAATTACTGAGAATTAATTGTTCTGTTGATGTGAGCATTTTAATAAGGAATAATCACCCCGAGCGGAGATAAAAGTGAAAAGCAAACTATAGAAAAATTCCTGTGGTGAGAGCACCATGGCAATGCGTGTAAACTGAAAAGGGAGGAACAAAGTCACAGAGCGCAAGTCCTGTCTGTACTACTGTGGAAACTGTTTCCACCAAGAAGGTGGTCTTTTGAGAACAGCAGAGTTCTGTTCACAGAAACAGTTCTCCCTCTGAAAAGAATAGGTTGTAAGTAGACATGTTTCCTCCAGAAATATGAATCCCAATTCTTTCTACTTCAAAAATAGAGGAATCACTGAAAATCAGAAATGTGTCAGCAGTTCAACAACTCACCAAGGGAACTTTTCCTTTGCTCTAGATCAAATGAGACTGCTTGAATTTCTGCTTTACTAACATCTTGAGGTTTTGTTCCAAATTACGGGCAAGTTAGTTTTTAAGATAATACATCTCGAAGAGAAGGAAAGATTATCGCCAACAGTCTTAAAGGAGAAACAGTGATTAAGTGTTACCACCTTACAGAGGTGTCAGCTGGTTCAAAACCTGGCAATAAGCACAAGAACCCCCCACATACACCTTCCCCCTATGTAACTGCCTCAGTCTGAAAAGAACCAGACAGATGCAGACCTTAACATTTACCGCATCATTTTCCTAGCCAGCAGTTTGTCAGTTCGTCCCTTGTTAATATAGTCCTACAAAAAGCAAGATTATAAGACAAACAAACTTTCTACTTATGTCACAGTAAGAAAGAGGCTAAGCATCAAGCTCCATGAGCACACTTTAGCCCAGGAGAAGTGAGGGTTTGGCATTCTGTTGCCCAGTCATCCCTGATTTCACAGAATGCTGTAAACACAGTCATAATGAATCTCTCTATTTTAAAAGCTGCCGGGTAGAGTACAGATATGTGGTAGGACATGACAGCACTCTTGAAGCTTTCAGTCCAAGATGTTTACAGGCTATAATGAAAACCAAAAGTTTCTTCTATTGCCCAAATCAATAGACATTCCTTTAAGCCACTGGAAAACAGGAGACTGAATCAGAGACTTACAGTGATTAGCAGAGTTTTTCCCTGGCAGTTTAATGGGTTTCTAGGAGTGACATATTAGCCAGTGGAATACCAATACAGCTTTGCTTTCTGCCTTTCCACCAATGAGATGTCTGCCTGGGTTTGGGGTTAAAACAGACGCACAAGCAATTCTAACGCTACTGAACAGAAGCGCATCTCTGCATTTTTAGGTTGAATGGGAGCTTCACCCCAGAAAAGGAACAGCAAACATCAGAATACGACCTACCTGATCTGAGTTAATAACTGCCGTGACATTACACTGCTTTCTCAGGAACGGGAAAGAGTTATTTCTCTCAGGTTCCATTAATCACTTTGGAAAATCCAGAGGCGATGAGGAACAAAACAAGTAACACTCAGCTGCATGAAGCAGAGCATCCAGCCAAACTGCTTGCTTAGAGACACATGGCAAATACAGCCGCTGCTCTGAAACTACAGCTGCGTGCCCGAGATCTCTTCAGATCTGCGTGTGTGATCATTAAAGATTTTCTAATTATCTAATAAAGCAGAGTCTCCTGGAGATTTGGGGTTCCAGACTTCTGTTTTCTTTACCGAGGACCACATTAAACTTACCCAGAACAAAGTCAAAAGGAAACAGCTCACAGGCTTTTCTATTTCAAGGTGTTATACATACACAAGCACTCTGAGTGGGCTTAATTCTTTTTCCTGCAAGTGCAATTTGCTCACACTTTGTATCGGCAGGAACAGTTGGGAACAAGTTCTAGCAGGAAGGCTGCACCTTTTCCAGCCTAGACAACTGCATCACCCTCTTCTTTCTCCAGTTGCTCCAGAGAAGAACTTTGACTTTCCTTGGTACCCACAGGCTCAGTATGCAAATGTTTGGAGAGCTCCATATAGAGTCCATGACCATGTACCCAGCTTATTGCATATACACAAACTGCTGGTCGGATTCTATTAAGCCCAGTGTAGTCACTAACATATTGTGTGCAAGTGCAGAAAGCACACACTGGCAGGGCTTGCACATAACAGTAGCTGTACTGACACTGAGAAAGCACTTAATCTTGTGCTATCAGTGGGAGTTCGTATCATCAATACTACATGCTCCTCAGACTAGAGTGAAGGAAGAGGTCACACAGTGACCCACACTGTGTGCCTTCCAGCACTATTCCTTCCCAATGCATGTGAGGCTGCTTAGTCCTAAAACCCTGGCCAGAATTCAGTTTCCAAGGCTGGACAATACCAGAGCTCATTATTTCAACCACGTTGGCAAGAATCTGACAATATACCAGGCTAAGACCCAACATTTGCTGTTAACACTCATCAAATAGTCCAGCAAGAAACTTCTCTCCGGAAAAAAAACCCTTTACTCTTTCAGGGTGGGAAGTATCTGTTTTGACAACACTTACTATCAAAAAGTCCAAATGTCTTATTTCAGTACTGACTTCTTTCAATATAGCTAAGAAATCAAAGCCAACTTCAGCTTTGCCTCTTAGTAGCACTAAACAAAGCAAAATTACTTCCTCAAATAAAAGATTTCAGCACTTCTGAATCAATATTTTTACTGAAACAAGCTTGGCAAGAGTCAAAAAAGTATTAATTTAGGATTTCTTTTAGAGTTCCTATTACCCATGGCATGGAATTCTTAATTCCTACATAGCTAAGTGTGCTTCCATTTCTTATTACTGGTTACATGTGCGAGGGGCTTTGTTTATTTGCCTTTAAGTGCATAAAACCTTCCTGAAGGCTATTGGAGGTATGTTTTAAACATGGCTTGAGTCCCGAACTGCCCTAAAAGACCACAACCAAAAACTTGCTTCAAAACATGGTCCATATAAAATACCACAAATGTAAATATGGGAGGAGGTTCACACTACCTGATTTGTGACCATGATTAATTCCCTTTGGCCACAGGCATTCAGACTGTAAGCCAAGCTTTGCAAGTAGGAGCAGATCTGAAAACAAGCAGCATAAAAAGAAGCAGTTAAGTTTGATATCTGGACAACTGATTTGTCAGCCTGAAAAACCAAAGAATTCATTTGCAAAGGACAAAGACATTTAGCTGTGTGAAGTCCGTTATAATGGACTTAGAGGGCCTATAAGGATCCTGGGCAGGGACTCTCCATTAGAGTCTGTAGTGACAGGACAAGGGGTAACAGGTTAAAACTTAAACAGGGGAAGTTTAGATTGGATATAAGGAAGAAGTTCTTTATTGTAAGGGTGGCGAGGCACTGGAATGGGTTGCCCAGAGAAGCTGTGAGTGCTCCATCCTTGGTAGTGTTAAAGGCCAGGTTGGACAGAGCCTTGGGTGGCATGGTTTAGTGTGAGGTGTCTCTGCCCATGGCAGGGGGGGGTCGAACTTGATGATCTTAAGGTCCTTTCCAACTGTAATGATTCTATGATTCTATAATGCTGCCATCTTCTAGACTGACAGTCAAACAAACTGGGAGATATGTATGTAGACATGACCACAAACTAAAGAGGTGCTGAGTCAGTGAGCACCGCACAATGAAAGTCTTGGGCAAGGAGTCCCTAGGAAAAGGTGTGTTTACTTCACACAAACAGAACAAGTAGGTTAGATTGCAACGCAACATTTCTTTCTGGCTATGACTGATAAAACTCATATGCATGCAAATGGAAGGAGAACAACAACAACAAAAAAAGGCCTTTGCTGAGCTGCATTAACCTGTTTATTTAGAAAGCTCATCTCCAGAGTCAGAGCAACACTTCATTACATAGCTTTGTTCTACAGAATTTCTTGGCCATGTAAACTACAGGCACTCTATCATAATGGCTTGAAAAATAAATCCCTTATATGTAAAGTTTATGCAAACAAGAAAACCAAAACAACCCATCTCATTATCTTCTTCAACCAGTTACATCAAATACAAACAAACAAAGATATCTCTTATGTGCAGGGAACAGACCGATGCTGGTTTCACAGAGGAGTGACCGACTCCAGTAAATTAAATGCCCAGGGCTTCAGAGACGTCATCTGGTCCTAATTTTCCATCGGCAGTAAAATGATATGTTTTTCACTTTCATTGTAGCTTGTTTTCATCTATTTTATGTTCCAAGGCGTCCTGCTTTTCAAGCTCAGATCCATCACATTAAGAAAATGGACTTGAAAAAACGTACAACAGCCGACGTAGTGGCACCGCTGAGCTCCCGCACTCTGCTGCCTGCAGAATCTCTCTTCCTCATGCCAAAAAGAATTGGGAGCAGAGAGAAGTACGTGGGAGTTATATACGTGGACTCGGCATAGGTGGAAAGCACCCAACTGCTTTATCTTGCAGAAATGGGGTGAAAGTGCCACCTCCTCCTAGAATTCTCTGCAGGATCCAAGTGCCTGAAGGACTGGCCTCTCCTGCACTGCATTTTGGCCTCTCTGAGGTTGGCCTAACATTTATGAACTGTAAATGGTTTAGATCTGTTCTGAGACATTGCACTCCACCAACAGAACAGGAGAGGAAAGGAAGAGAGAAGAATGAAGTTGTCTTAATCACCAAGCCTTCCCTCTCTATACCACCGTGCATCATCCCTTACCTTCCCTAGTACCAACAGCCTACAGCAATCAATTCACTAAAAGCTGATGGAGACGAGTCCATAATAGAAATTAACAATACATAGTTGCAGTGCCTCTAATGCCAGGTACAACATAAATCACAGTACTTTGCATGGGGACAGTTAGTCCTCATATAACCATGAATGACAAGCCTTAGCCAACTTGCTAGATGAAATATAAATAGATGATATGGCTATAAGTGCTCAGAATACAACTGTGGTACATGCTGCGCTACAGCTGCAAAACTGATCTTGATGTCAACTGCAAAATCCTCCCAAGAAGAAGGATAAATATACGGTGATCAGGCTGTGCCAAGCTCCATGCTTCTTCAGGAAGATTGTCAGCAGTGCCAGAGGGAGACAGTTACACATTCACAGCACCATGTTTGACTGCACCAGAGAAGTATTCCAGAAGATCAATTTGCTACCCATAAAATTAAACCACAGTTTTACTGGTCCCATCCAGATTAAATTAGAACATATTTAGAAGTCAATTTTGCAGATGTTCCCAGAGTACCCTATCTCTGTGCAAGAGGCCAGGCACGAGGACATTCATTGGGAAGAGATATACCAACATTTCCCAAGACCTAAACAATATCTCCTGAACACCTGATCAATTGAAACTCATTGAAATGGACGTACATAAAATAAGTGCACATGTATTTCATATGATTCTGCTAAATCAAGTAAATGCTCATCTTCAGCTTTCCCACCTCCCCAGTGAAATAAGGAGTCTCACTTCCCATCCTGTGGTCTGAAAAACATAAGTAATTAAGGCAGATTGCAGCCCATCAGTCAGATTTCCCAGGGTAGGATTGCTCAGCCCCAGCACTCCCATCACAGCTTTGCTTCCCACCCTGTTTCTGACTTTCAATCCTGCTGCCAAAATCTCTCTCACTGTTCCTCCTGGTTTTTTTTTCTTCACTTGCAGGACCACATATCTGCATCTCTCTCAAGACCCTGCAGGACCTTTCTTGGCTGGTGTAAATCAGAAGGAACTTTTCTTAACCAAGTAACAGCAATTCAGCCTACAGCAGCAGAGAAGTTGGCCTCTAACTCAGTCCCTTTATCCCCATGTTCATTTCTAGAGCCCATGCCTCTTTCCCTCTAGGAATTCAGTATCAGGACTCAGGTTTGCCTCATTTACCATAGATTCGACCCTGAACACACAGCAATTAAATATGAAGTTTGCATCTAACTGAGTATCCAAGAATCTTGTTTTATTTCATCTACTCTGGCTTCCTCTATACTCCTTATCACAAGACCATGATGGACAAGATAAGCTCGACAGGAAGATGCTGGCACAACTGCCCTTCCTTATAAGTGTCTATTAAACAGGCACAATGAGGGCAAAAAGAAAACAAAAGCCATGATATTTGGCACTAGGAGAGTCTTTCTACTGACTCTTACAGGATCTCCATGTTTTAAGACAGCTCTCTTTCTCATCTAAAGAGATGTCCTTTTCTTCATCTATCTCCGTAGGGATTTCCGTGGGGACAACTTGCATGGGGAGCTTGCGTTTACCAAGGTTCATTTAAAACACCAGTAGTTGCTAAAGGTTCACTTAATCCTGTTTTGTCTCAGCTCCCACTGCTAAGCCTTTGCTGTTCATTTTAATAGTAGCTAAGGAGGAAAACTAGAGACTTGTACATCCCTGGTTTTGCACACCACATGTAGAAGGGAGGAGAAAAAATACAGTAATATTACTTAAATTTTCCAAAGAATTCACAATATAAAACTAAGAACTGCCTCACTTTTAATGGTGCTGTGCTTTAGTCATTTAGAATGATTTGCCTTAACTATTTTCCACAAGGACTATGATGTCTATTGACAGGTACACCTACCAAAAGCTGTTCGGTTTTGTCTTTTAAAAAGGAATGCGAGAACAGCAGCTTCATTTGTACCATATTCTTCCTCTCCTGCATACAATCAGATGGGTGAAAGAGACAGGGGATGGGGAAGAATTCCACAACATAATCATTTGGCAACTCATATTATTTTCTTTCAAAGGGCATTACAATACACTTCTCTCACTTGGGGAACTTCAAGAGAAGATAATTATTCTTGTCTGCCTTGTAATATATATTAAAAATGTTCAAATGTGGCTTTCCAGGGAATTCTGCCAAATATTTTTAGGCACCAGACCCAGCTTTACTTAATTTTATATTGCCTTCTCAGTCTTTTATAAAATACCCTTCCATACAGTTTGAATTTGGTAGAAAGGCTGAAGCATACTCATTTATATTAGAAACATAAAAATCCTTCTTTCCTTGAAATAGAGATCTTTAACTCCTAATGTGACAGCCATTCAGATGTACAGTAATTAAAGTGTCTCTACAGAGCTTAACACACATCAGTGAGCTTTTACTGCCACAAAACCCAAGCAGAAACAGAGAGGGGAGGGTTTGGGGTTTTTTTAGGAGACAACATATCAGTAGCTTCAAACATTTTTGTTTTATAAGCACTTTAGTAGCAGTGTAACAGTAGCACCTTGAGCCTCCAAAGACCAGAGCCCTGCTGCATGAGGTATCATAAAAGCTTCAAAGATGCAACTCCTAAACCTTTAAGTGCTGTCATCAACTACAGTAAAGTATGGGATTACAGTACAGTTTGTTGGGGTTTTTTTAAAGCCATTTGAGGTAGCAATCATCTCTCATTACTAGCAATAATGTTTATTGCAAGGGATAAAGCAATGGTAGTGGACAAACCAATCTGCTCCAAGGAGTTTACAGTCTAAGCAAACAAGAACGCCAACCCCTGGACACACAGACAGAGCTCATTATCACAAGAGCAGAATATGTAGAGTTGGAAAAAGATAAGCTAAGTAACAGAGAGGGAGGGATAAAACAGATGCAGAGTGAATTTGAAGGGACTATACCGCAGTACCACAAGGCAAATAACTACTACAGAGCTGGCAGTCTCGAGACAAAGAACAAGTGGGAAGCAGTGAGGCACAAAGCCTTGCTCTAAATCATGCAGCACAGCAACTAGCAGTGAGAAGCCTGACAACCAGATCCTCACTTTAGCATCCACCCAGTGAATTCTGACACTTCACTTTTTAAAGCTTCAAGTCTGTGCTATTATAGCCCAGTGAGAAAGGCCAGCAACCCTTATCCTGAACTTCTAAACAGTCAGACATGATTTACACAGCAAGATCAAGCCCGCAGTATTCCAATCAGTTTGCTTTCTGGATGTTTCACTGTCTTCCCTCTCTTCTTTTAAAAGCCAGCATCAGAAATTGTAGATAATTAGCATAAAAGTCCATGTGAAATGGTGTATTTGTTGAAGTGTTTGTTTTGGCTTCCTAAAACAGGCTGGAATCCAGCTCTTGGGCTCAGCCCCACCTTAGTTATATTTGTCCTGTTATGCACAACA